AAACTTTAAAAATTACATATAAAAATTTTTTGAAAAAAATACAATAAATAAAACTAGTATTAAAATATAATATATATGAATTTCATAATTTTTGATTATATAATTAAGGATTTAAAAATTGGCAAAGTTAAAATTTATAATAAAAATATAATAAGTGGACTCAAACTTTTGAAAGCAACTGTATATTATATATAAATAATAGATAGAACGATTAAACTCTTATAAAAATATTTAACTTACAAGTATAAGTTAAAGAAAACATGAAATAAATAATTAAAGAGACTTTTTAAAGACTTCAAAGAACTTTTACAAAAAAAAAAATAGTGAAAAGTATATAGGGCCAATTGAAAATTTTAAAGAAAAAATAGAAAATTAAACAAGTTAATATTTAAACTAGCAAAGTAAACTTTTAAAACTAGTTAAAAAAATCAAAATTTTATATTTAATTAATAAAAAACAATTTTATTTTAGAAATAACAAACCTGAAATATTATCAAAGTAAAAAAATAATATTAAATATATAGAAAAAAATATGCAATCAATTCTAAAAAAAAGTCTAGCAAAAAAATAAATAATAAAAAATCTTCAAGTTTATTAAATCAGAAAATTAATTGGAGTTTTGATTCCTATCAAAACTTAAAAAGTAATTTGTAATGATAATTTATAGATAATGATATTAATAGTTAAAAAAATTTTTATTTAAACTATTAATGAAGTGATAAATTACTTTTGTTATATTTAAAGTAATAAAAAATCAAGATAAATAAATTAGTTAAAGATTTAGCTTTAGTGATATATGTTATATATACAATTTATTCAATATTTAATAAAGTACCTATAACTAATTTAACAGAGAGTTAAAAAAAAAAACAAGTTAACTATATAATATTGTAGATATATATTTAAGGTCTTAATAAAAACATATTATAATAACATGATTGTAGATTATGATTTTTTTATTTTAAAAATCAATATATTGTAAATAATAAATTAATAATTTTCTAATCAAAAGTTTAAATATAATATTAAAAGAGTAAAAAAAAATATTAAACTTTGTTTTGCTTAATTCAAACCAACTTGATGAATTTTTAAATGATTTGGTTCTTTAACTAAAATACTGTATGATGATGAATTAGTTATCATGTTAATTGTTTTTATTATTATCCAGTAAAGCCATGATAACATGTTAGTAAATATATCAATATTAGAACTTCAGTTTAATAAAATAAAATTTATTGCTATTAAAATATAAAATTTGGAAAAAATGGGTTGAAAACAATAATCGAAGAATTACTTTTTATACTTTCTAAAACCTTTCAAAGTTTTTTAATGAGATTTATCATTTTCGTTGCTGATCTAACTTGATACACGTAATATATTATTAACAATTAACTATTAAAGTTTTTTATTACTCAAACAAAAGAACGCTGGCATAATAATTATTATTCATTATCTTTAGGATAAAATAATTATCTCAAGTAAGCTCTATTACCCTATTTTATTTGGGCATATATACTTTCTAATCGTTTATATGAGCTTCTAATCGCTTATAACCATCAAACCGTCCCAGGAGCAGACAAAACAGTATTGACCCGAGATTCATCTCCGGAAACAACGGCGTGGTGATAATCTCTCAGTAAATTATCAACATCCTCCATACTCTGTGGCCGAATGTCCGCCAATACCTTGATCTTTGCTGTAATCTTTTTAACTTGATCATCGGTTAGACTAAGCCCCAACTGCTCCACCCGATTTTTAACTGCATTCCAACCTGTCAGGCGATGACCGATAGACACATATCGCGTCATACTATTTCATGCATAAACAAGAAATAATCAAAATTACGAAATCATCATATATGATATTGCAAATTTTCAAATACATAATAGAAAATTTTTTACCCAAAGTCTTCCGGCTTCAAAATCTCATAAGTACTTGGGTTGTTTAGGATTGCCTTAGCGTGAATGCCAGCTTTGTGCGTAAAAGCACAATAACCAGTGATATAGTTATTGAAAGGAACTTGGACACTGACCGCATTGGCGACTAAGTTTTCGAGGTCACGGAGCATGTGAAGCTTGTATTTGCGTTTGACATAATCTCTGTCCACACTGTACATACGAGCAACAAGTCCACCAAGAGGTGTTATACCATTACGCTCGCCAATTCCTAATACAGAAGTATCTATGTGTGTCGCTCCGGCCTCGAGGGCTTTGATTTTTATCACAAAAATAAAGTTAGGAATGCAAATACTAATTAATTGTAATCGACAATGTGACGAGGAAATTGATATTTACCAGCATAAGCATTAGCAATGGCACACCCAGTGTCATTGTGAAAATGACACTCAATGTCACAGGAGACGACACCACGGAGTGTTCGAACTAGGTCGTAAACTTGTCGTGGATTGGCACAACCAACTGTATCGGCTATGCCTACTCGATTAACTCCGAGCTTGTCAGCTTTACGATAAATACTCAGCAGATCAACTAGATCACTTCGGAACGAATCTTCCGAGGAAAATCGAACTTCGATTCCCTTAGATTTAACAAATTTGATAACTTCGGTCGCTGCATTAGCAATATAATCCATGTCTTTTCCGTGTGAAAATTCTCGTAGATAAGATGAAGTTCCTATGACAATATCCACGCCATCAACGCCTTTAAATAGCAGAATAATGAAAGATCAGTCTTCTTTTTTTTTTGTGAATGAGATTAAATCCTTCAAAATACTCCATTCAGACAAGACAATCGAATAATGCACATTATATATATAGACACTATACCAGTTTCAACCGCGATTCTTGCATCATCCATATGACATCTTATATGAGTCAGAATTTTTGCTTTCAATCCTAGTTTGCAAATCTCAATACAGTCTTGCCTTGATTGTTCAGAAGCAGCTGGAGAAGTAAGTTCAATATATTCAACACCGAAATCATCTAATGCTTTTGCAATTTCAATCTTTTTGGCGGTATCAAAAAAGGCATTGGCAAATTGTTCCCCCTCTGTAATATATATATATATATATAAAGATAAAAAATCTAAGAATGTAACCTTCATCAACTTGGTTCTTAAAAAACTAACCTCTCAGTGTTGATTCGATGATGGAAAAATTACTAACACGACTTAGAAAGTCGGCATACCGTGGAGTATATGGGTTATTACGCGTGCTCCCATTTATCCCATTTTCATGCGCACATCCGTGTGAATTCATCTTTGAACTATTTTCCATGATAATAAAAATCAAAAATTTGGGAGAAATCTTATTTTTATACACTAAAGATTGAATCAGATTCGGTAGTCTCACATTCCAAAAATATTTTCATTGTTGTGATACAGTCAAAAAATTGCAACGTGAGATAATCTATATTTTTTGATAAGAAATGACTCAAAAGGCGTAATTCCATACAAGTGGAGGTGGCACATTCATCTCTTGCTTTATATATTAACTCGTCAAAAAAAAAAAGAAGACTGATCTTTCATTAT